TAAAAATATTATATTCTTCGTTAACACTTAACATATTTTAATTAATTAAAAAAAGAGTTAATTACAATGTTTTTTTTTTTTAATTTTTTTTATAGTATTATGAAATTAAGACATGTAACAGGGATTTTTTTTTTTTTTTTTTTCTTTTTGAAAGGAGTAAACAGGGATTTAATCTCAAGCATATTTATCAATTTTTGGCGTATATTTGCAACATGCAAAATTGATTGAATACGACATGTTTGGATCTTAGACAGACAGTGAGATTTTTGCATTTTGGTACTGTCCAAGATTAAATATTTGAGATAATGAGATGCTAACGTCAATTATATACCTCTAATTTTATTAGAACAGCAAACTACAACGTCTGTTCATCATTAGTCATAATAAAACTAAGTATTTTAGATTAAGATATTATTAAAAATTCAAAAAAATAAAAATAATAAAATGGAAGAAATTAAAAGAATAGACGACGTACGTCAACGAAGCAGTCGTGGAAGTGGAGGCGGATGAGGGAGGCGCCCATGCGAGTCTCGGCATTTATGGCGGCGTCGACGATTTCCTTAACGGCGGAGAAGACGCAGTTTGCGTCGGAAAGCTTGCCGGAGGATTTGCCGAAGCCGAGGTAGGACAGGACGTCGGCGGCGTCGAATGTGTTGTCGAGCCAAGTGGGGATGAGCTTGAGCCGGCTGGGGGATGAGAGTGTGTTTTGGAAGAGAGAGTAGCCGGCTAAGGCGAGGGCTATGAAGCTCAGGGCCAGAGTGAGCCGAGCCACGAAGGAAGCCATGGTCAATGGTGAAGATCGGGATAAAGAAGAAGGGTTTGACTACTTGTGGATGAGTGTTGAAGATGAATGGCTTGAGTGGCTTTGGTTAAATAGAAATTTTGCAAGTGGCTTAGCTTTGATCATTTTTTATGAGTTAGGTGGGAATTATTGTCATTGACGATATGATAAATGAATCAGGGACTGAGATTAGTCGCTACTAATTGTGTAATTGTCTTTTGATTTAGGGGTGGTGATATATAACTGTTAACGGATTTGACCAGTTAATAGTATTAGTCAATTGTAGAAAGATGTTTGGTAAATTAATTTTTATTTTGTAATTGTTAGTTGGAGTAATAAGCTGTTACAAAAAGCTAATTAATTAAACATTTATATTAACTGTTTAACCAAGTCAAATAGCTAATAGTGGTCAAAGAAGTCAAAATTGATTGATAAGCTAATTATGTTATCAAACATCAAACATGACCTTAATATATTAATTTGTAGAGGGAATAGTTGATTTTGGAAATTTTTAAAAAATAAATCGATGACAATTTTGGGAAAAAAAATTTTTTTAAAGGGGGACAAAAGAAGAAAAAAAGAATTGATGAGACAAATTTCTACCATAGTTGATCTAAATAGTAACTTCCCATGTGGAGGATGGCCATTTTGGGGTGCGAATTATATTTTAGCTCCACTCCCCTATAGGGCAAAACTTATTCATGTTTTCTTGATTGTTTACTCTCTTTAGTATCATTTTTAAGGCTATTTTGCAATTCAAGTTTTAATATAATTAAAATAGACATATAAGGTATTCAAAAAAAAAAATAAAAAATAGACATATAAGGATCATTCGGAATGTTACATAGACGTACTCAATTTTTTTTTTTTTGTAATTTTATATAACAAAGTCACAACACACAAGTTCGACTCTTGTCAATATTCTCTTAATCAAACATATCGCATAGTGTTTTCAAAAAAAAAAAAAAGTACAATTTATCTTTCATGTGTAATTTATTGATTATTACACAAAAATTAATTAGAATGTATCTATACATATTTTCTGATAATGATTGCAAGTTTTTTATTCACACACACAAATATCATTCCGAATGTTATTTTCGTTGAAAGTAGTACCCTTTTGGAGAAGTTTTGTTTTTGAAAAGTCTAGGTAGCTACCTAGGATTGATGTTGTATCTAGATGATGGGAAACTACCACACATGTTTTGAAAATTCTGCCAATATTTGAAGTTGTGGTTAGATGAGTAGGAAAGTGACGGAAAAAAAATGGAATATAATAGGAAAAAAATTTTTATTACACAATCAAATAAATAAGAAAAATGGAACACTAAAAATTATACTTCACCAACAATTGAAATATAAAAAAAATATTTCTTAAATAATTGAAATATGAAAAGAGGTGACAATATACTTAAGAGACAAAAAATACTAGCTATTTTTTTTATATAATTTAATTATGCAAACTTTATATTTTTTTAATAATCAATAATATAATACTTTTAATACGATAAAATTTTAAAACAAAATGCAATACCTATAAACAAATTACGATCAATCGCTCTATAAATTAAAGATGAACTATACAATATAACAATTTAGTAAGATTTGGGCAACTTAGAAATAGATTATTAATTATTAGCATTTACTTATTATTGTTATTAGTATAATAATTATTACTTTAATATTTATTAAGCTGTATTTGTCATCACGTATCTTTCTAACATGTACCATAATATTTGGTATCACTAATATTATTGGTGCATTAGTTATTTTCTTCACGACTTATTAATTATCATTGAATTAGTTATATACTTATATGTGACTTTGATTCTTGCTCTGGTCAAACATACTATAATATGTCACATTTTTTATTCATTAACGGTTCATAAATTAGATAGTTGTAGAAGAATTATAAAGAGTATTTATGAATAAATATATAATTATTGAACATTTAATATATGAAGACGTCCTTTATTTCCAACAAGCATAGGTGAAAATCTTCACTTTTCAAAGTTAAATTTTCACTTTGGTTATTTTACAGATAGGGAATGAGAATATAATTCTCACACGGATGCAACAGAGACGTCATTCACCCGGTTGCAGATGTCGCGGATTTCGAGCTCAACTCTGGCGGACGGCGGCAGGTTGCTCATCTTGACCATGGCGGCGGCGAAGTCGGCAAGGAAGGTATCCGTGGAGTCCCGGTACGTCGTCACGGCGTCGCTGGTGGTGGTGCTGTTCATCAGTTGTTGGTCGGAAAACAGGAGACCTTGGCCGTTGACTAGGTCAGCGTAATAACGTTGGTCGAATGTACCGGGAGTGGGGTCCAGCCCGACCAAACCCGGGTCAGTCTCAGTTACAGGACAGTTGCATTGCAGACCGGGGACCCGAACCGGGTTTTTGTTTCTGCTGTCACATAAAACCGGACATCTAGCAAACCCTAGTGTGTGTGAACCTAGCAAGGCTACCAATTCCCTCTCGTTAAATCCTTTTATGCCAAATTTCCTGACTTGTTCAGTCAGGTTTTCCGATGGTCCGACAAGCTGGTTAAGAGCTCCGGTGAAGTTCGCCGTTCTTGCGTCGAGTCGCTCTAAGGTCACGGTGTATGTTGCTCCAGTAAACTGTTAACGCAAATATAAATAAAATAAATAAATACGTGTATACATGTAATATATTGACATTATTGGTAACATTTATATACGATATTGAAGACTTAACCTTTCGAAAGAATCACGAGCAGCAATAGACAAAATGTCAGAACAAGATACAGGTGTATTGGCACATTTAGCTACTGCATTCTGTTTAGCTTGTTCTATAACCTCGAACCCTCTCACAGAGTTATTATTTCCTGGCGCACCCTGTTCCCCTTGGAACGTGGGCTATCATTCAGAAGAAGCCCTGCATCACAACCCTAATACACACAAATTTTTACGAAGAAGTAAATTTAGTATTGGATAAATAACAATCTAATACGGAGTAATATTTTTCATTAAAGCATGTGACCTATTGACATGTTTGTTGTGTCACTTCGACAGGAACGTGTGATCAGGCCCGGATTTTAGGCTGTGCAAGCTGGGCTACTGTACAGGGCCTCAAATTTTAGAGGAGCCCCAAGTTTTAGAAGCTCAATATTTTATTTTTGCCTAGTTAGTTTAGAAATAAAAATTAAAAGTTTTTAATTAAATTTAAAAGGATTTATAAAGAAATGGTAGGAACATGTAGTTATTGTATTTTAACTTTTGAGGTCTAAGGTTCAAAACTTGTGCACACTTTTATTATTTCAGAATATTTCTATTTTTATCTGTGCGTTGTACGGAAAAGATTTGTTATAATCTTTAACTTATAACAGCGAATATTATATAGTGCAATTGATGAAATGAGTTGTATCGATTATATTTTTTTATGTTATTCTTGCTTGAATTTGAGCAAATAATTGCCCAATTATCCGTGCAGTGTGTGTGCGATGCACAGATAATTTTTTTTTTGTTATATAATTAGATAATAAAATTACGGTATTAGTTTTATAAATTTTAATTTTGGTAGGGTCTTATTTATTTACACAAATAGGACCACAAAAATCTAAAACCGGCCCTTCCACAAAGCAATCGTGGAAGAAGAGACGAATGAGGGAAGCCCCCATGCGAGTTTCGTTATCGATGGCGGCGTCGACAACTTCTTTAACGGCGGAGAAGACGCAAGCTTCGTCGGAAAGCTTGCCGCCGGCGGAGGATTTGCGGTCACTGGGATACGATAACACGTTGGCAGATTGGAATGTCGGGAGAGGCTTGATGAGCTGGCCCTCCATGGCTGACTGTGTGTGCTGGTAAATGGAGTAGCCAGCTAGGGCTAGAGCTATGAGGCTCAGCGCAAGGCTGAGCCGACTCACAATGGACGCCATGGTCAAAGTAAACTGTAAGATGAAGAAAATGAAGAAGGAATTTGAGCTGAAGATGATGATCGAATTGCCTCTAAGCAGGTCCATTTTTAAATTTTTGTGGCCCTGTTTGAGTAAATAAATAAGGCCCTACCAAAATTAAAATGTTTAAAACAAATACCGTAATTTTATTATCAAAATATATAACAAAAAAAATTTATTCGTGCATCGCACGCACACTGCACGGATAATGGGCAATTATTTGCTCAAATTCAAGCAAGGATAACATAAAAAAACACATTCGATATAACACATTTCATCAATTGCACTATATAATATTCGTTGTTATAATTTAAAGATTATAAAACCCTTGTCGGCAAACTTCCGCGTCTGTATGGCGAGGTTGTCGAACGGCGCCGGAAGTTGGGTGTTAGCTCCGGTTAAGTTCGCCGTTCTTGCATCCTGTCTACCTAACATTACACTGTACGTTTGGTTTGTGAACTGTCACACAAATAAATGACATTTAATTTACATTAGAATAATAAAAAAAATTACACTTATATTTATTCACGAAAAACAAAAAAAAATTTACTTTTCTAAAAGCATCACGAGCAGCAATGGCTAAGACGTCTGCACAGGATACAGGTGTGTCGGCGCATTTAGTTTGGGCGTTCTGTTTTGCCTGCTCTATTACACTAAAGCCTCTGACGGAGTTGCTGTTGGCCGGTGCACCTTGTTCTCCGGTGAAATTGGCGGTGTCATTTAAGAGGATTCCTCCATCGCAGCCCTAATCATTATTTCCATTTTACAATTAATTCTAAATCTGGCTTATGTATGGTAAATTCAAATAAAATAAATAATGTGTCGTGACAGCCATGTTAGGTCATCACAAAGCTCAAAAAATAATAATTTTATGGAGGCCCTTTGACCCGACAGTAAATAGACATACTCACCTAATAGCACAAACTTCAAGTGTGTGTTTGCGCATATATATATATATATATATATATATATATATATATATATATATATATATGAGAACTAACCATAACCTGTGAATTACGAACTTGTAAAGGATTACACCGCAACTACTATATGATTGCACTGCTACGACTCCTAGACATGCCTGAAGAACCTTTACGATGCAATCCTATAGTAAATCAGTGCAATTCTTTACAAGTCCAAAATTCACAAGTTAAATATTGGTTCTTACTTGATTTATAAACACACACACACACACACACACACACACATATATATATATATATATATATAAACACCATGGGAAAAAAAAAAGAATTAAAGAAAAAAATACAAGAGAAAACTTAGTACTGAATGAAAGTAAAGAAAGCTATGGCCAGTGTGATAATACACATGGTCCCCCTGTTGTTACACTGATGTTATGGCAGATGCGGACATTAAATGTATAAAATTTTATTACAGATAACATTACATACGGAGTATATTTTATTTTATAAATATTATATTCTTCGTTAACACTTAACATAACATATTTTAATTAATTCAAAAAATAATAATAATTACAATGTTTTAAAAAAAATTATAGTATTATGAAATTAAGACATGTAACAGGGATTATTATTATTATTATTATTATTATTATTATTATTATTATTATTATTATTTAAAGGAGAAAACAGGGATTTAATCTCAAGCATATTTATCAATTTTTGGCGTATATTTGCAACATGCGAAATTGATATATTGAATACGACATGTTTGGATCTTAGACAGACAGACAGACAGACAGTGAGATTTTTGCATTTTGGTAATGTCCAAGAATAAATATTTGAGATAATGAGATGCTAACGTCAATTATATACCTCTAATTTTAATTACTGTGTCTTCTTTATTGTGTAGTGAGACAGATATTATTAGAACAGCAAACTACAATATTAAAAATAATAAAATGGAAGAAAAGAATAGACGACGTACGTCGACGAAGCAGTCGTGGAAGTGGAGGCGGATGAGGGAGGCGCCCACGCGAGTCTCGGCATTTATGGCGGCGTCGACGATTTCCTTAACGGCGGAGAAGACGCAGTTTGCGTCGGAAAGCTTGCCGGAGGATTTGCCGAAGCCGAGGTAGGACAGGACGTCGGCGGAGTCGAATGTGTTGTCGAGCCAATTGGGGATGAGCTTTGTTGGGTAAAATAGGTGCAATGAATACCTGGAATGGATATTTGCGACGTGTTGTTGCTTCGGGACAAGAAACCAGCAGCGTTCTGTGTCGTGTTTGGCAACACTATCTTAAAGATATTTAACGACCAGGGTATCGTTATATCTCCGACAGATAACACAAACAGAAGAAATCAATATAAAAAGAACTCGAGGTAGTGTTTCTCGTATAGGGAATGTAAAGTGGTATTCTGTAAATGGAAAGTGAAATGCCATGCTATTTATAGCATTTCAACTTCCATTACAGCCAAGGCACCTAAAGAGCGCATGCATGGTCCCTTAGTGCTAGAAAAGTGCTTGCCACATAAAATCATTCGGACATAATTGTGATGATCCGATCCACAAATATAGCACAACACAAAAGAGGACCAAGCACTGACACTAAGGCTTGCCTTTGGATGTTTCCCAACGAGCCGGCTGGGGGATGAGAGTGTGTTTTGGAAGAGAGAGTAGCCGGCTAAGGCGAGGGCTATGAAGCTCAGGGCCAGAGTGAGCCGAGCCACGAAGGAAGCCATGGTCAATGGTGAAGATCGGGATAAAGAAGAAGGGTTTGACTACTTGTGGATGAGTGTTGAAGATGAATGGCTTGAGTGGCTTTGGTTAAATAGAAATTTTGCAAGTGGCTTTGATCATTTTTTATGAGTTAGGTGGGAATTATTGTCATTGACGATATGATAAGTGAATCAGGGACTGAGATTAGTCGCTACTAATTGTGTAATTGTCTTTTGATTTAGGGTGATGATATATAATTGTTAACGGATTAGATTAGTGGATTTGACCACTTAATAGCATTAGTCAATTGTAGAAAGATGTTTGGTAAATTAGTTGTTACCCCGTAGTGGTTAATTGGATCGGAGCAATAAGCTGTTACAAAAAGCTAATTACATTTATATTGACTGTTTAACCAAGTCAAACAGTTAATAGTTGTCAAAAATGTCAAAATTGACTGATAAACTAATTATGTTATCAAACAGGACCTTAATATATTACTCTGTAGATGGAATAGTTGATTTTGGATTTTTTTTTTTAATAAATAGATGACAATTTTTGAAAAAAAAAAAATGAAGGGGGGACAAAAGAAGGAAAAAAAATGATGAGACAAATTTCTACCATAGTTGATATAATAGTAACTGCCCATGTGGAAGATGGCCATTTTGGGGTGCAAATTATATTTTAGCTCCACTCCCTTATAGGGCAAAACTTATTCATGTTTTCTTGATTGTTTACTCTCTTTAGTATCATTTTTTTAGGCTCTTTTGCAATTCATGTTTTAATATAATTAAAATAGACATATAAGAATCGCTCGGATCATAATGTTAAATAGACTCAAATTTTCTATAATTTTTGTATAAGCAAGTCACAAGTTCAACTGCTTTCAAAAAAAAAGTCACAAGTTCAACTCTTATTAATATTCTCTTAATCAAACATGTTGAACAGTATTTTCAAAAAAAAAAAGTACAATTTATTGATTACGGAGTATTACACAAAAACTAAATAGTATAGAGTTTATCCATACACTATTTGATAATCACTACAAGTTTTTCATTCTCCAAAAACACACAAAAATATCATTCCGAATGTTATTTTCGATGAAAGTAGTACCCTTAGCTTTTGGAGAAGTTTATTTTTGAAAAGTCTAGCTAGGTAGCTAGCTAGATTGATGTTGTATCTAGAATTCTAGATGATGGGAAACTAACACACATGTTTTGAAAATTCTGGCAATATTTGAAGTTGTGGTTAGATGAGTAGGAAAGTGACGGAAAGAAAATGGAATATAATAGGAAAAAAAAAAATTTTACCCAATCAAATAAGTAAGAAAAATGGCACACTAAAAATTATACTTCACCAACAATTAAAATATCAAAAAAAAATATTTCCGAAATAATTGAAAAATGAAAAGAGGTGACAGTATAATTAAGAGACAAAAAATTAGTTTTTTTTTTGGTATAATTTTTTTTTTAGTAAAGTTTTTTTTTTGGTATAATTTAATTATGCAAATTTATATTTTCTAATAATCAACAATATAATACTTTTAATTAATATGATAAAATTTTAAAACAAAATGCAATACCTATAAACAAATTACGATCAATCGCTCTATAAAGATGAACTATACAATATAACAGTTTAGTAAGATTTGGGCGACTTAGAAATAGATTATTAATTATTAGCATTTACTTATTATTGTTATTAGTATAATAGTATGTATAATAATTATTACTTTAATATTTATTAAGCTGTATTTGTCATCACGTATCTTTCTAACATGTACCATAATATCTGGTATAACTAATATTATTGGTGCATTAGTTAATTTCTTCACGACTTATTAATTATCATTGAATTAGTCATATACTTATATGTGACTATGAGTCAAACATACTATAATATGTCACAATTTGTATTCATTAACCGTTCATAAGTTAGATTGTTGTAGAAGAATTATAAAGAGTATTTATGAATAAATATATAATTATTGAACATTTAATATATGAAGACGTCCTTTATTTTCAACAAGCATAGGTGAAAATCTTCACTTTTCAAAGTTAAATTTTCACTTTGGTTATTTCACAGATAGAGAATGAGAATATAATTCTCACATGGATGCAACAGAGACGTCATTCACCCGGCTGCAGACGTCGCGGATTTCGAGCTCAACTCCGGTGGACGGCGGCAGGTTGCTCATCTTGACCATGGCGGCGGCGAAGTCGGCAAGGAAGGTATCCATGGAGTCCCGGTACGTCGTCACGGCGTCGCTGGTGGTGGTGCTGTTCATCAGCTGTTGGTCGGAAAACAGGAGGCCTTGGTCGTTGACTAGGTCAGCGTAATAACGTTGGTCAAATGTACCGGGAGTGGGGTCCAGCCCGACCAAACCCGGGTCAGTATCAGTTACAGGACAGTTGCATTGCAGACCGGGGACCCGAACCGGGTTAATGTTTCTGCTGTCACATAAAACCGGACATCTGGCAAACCCTAGCGTGTGTGAACCTAACAAGGCTACCAATTCCCTCTCGCTAAATCCTTTTATGCCAAATTTCCTGACTTGTTCAGTCAGGTTTTCCGATGGACCGACAAGCTGGTTAAGAGCTCCGGTGAAGTTCGCGGATCTTGCGTCGAGTCGCCCTAAGGTCACGGTGTATGTTGCTCCAGTAAACTGTTAACGCAAATATAAATAAAATAAATACATGTATACATGTAACATATTGACATTATTGGCAACACTTATATACAATATTGAAGACTCACCCTTTCGAAAGAATCACGAGCAGCAATAGACAAAATGTCAGCACAAGATACAGGTGTATCGGCACATTTAGCTACTGCATTCTGTTTAGCTTGTTCTATAACCTCAAACCCTCTCACAGAGTTATTATTTCCTGGCGCACCCTGTTCCCCTTGGAACGTGGGCGTATCATTCAGAAGAAGCCCTGCATCACAACCCTAATACACACAAATTTTTACGAAGAAGTAAATTTAGTATTAGATAATACTCTAATAATATTTTTCATTAAAGCATGTGACCTATTGACATATATGTTTGTTGTGTCACTTCGACAGGAACGTGTGATAACTTAGGTACACCAATTATAAGATAAGTGGGTGATGACTTTTGTTTTAACGTAATGCTTCATGCACACCAATGTTTAATTAGTTGAAAACAACTCATTAAATAACACAGAAAGGAACCTCGCGTGCGTTCTAAGAAAGTGAAAGAAAGATAGTTAAATATATATATATATATATATATATATATATATATATATATATATATATATATATATATATAAACAAAAAAAAATTAGGGCGACGATTATCTGATAGGATCATATATATATATATATATATATATATATATATATATATATATATATATAGATTTTGGTTCATGTGAGGTCATGTCTTCCCGTGCGGTCAGTGCGGCATACACCATTAGGTATGTATAAATGCACCATACAGTGTTCGAAAATACACCAGAATGAAATGTCAAAAAATACACCACAAAAAAAAAAATACACCACACATAATGGTGTATTTTCGAACACTGTGTGGTGCATTTTTACATACCTAATGGTGTATGCCGCACTGACCGCACGGGAAGACCTGACCTCACAGGAACCTGACCCTATATAGATATATATATATATATATATATATATATATATATATATATATATATATATATATATATATATATATATATATATATATATTATTGTTATTGGTTTTTAATATAATCGTGTTAATATACATAATGATATGCATGTATATATAGGTTTTACTTAATTATGTATATACGTACATCGACAAAGCAATCGTGGAAGAAGAGACGAATGAGGGAAGCCCCCATGCGAGTTTCGTTATCGATGGCGGCGTCGACAACTTCTTTAACGGCGGAGAAGACGCAAGCTTCGTCGGAAAGCTTGCCGCCGGCGGAGGATTTGCGGTCACTGGGATACGATAACACGTTGGCAGATTGGAATGTCGGGAGAGGCTTGATGAGCTGGCTCTCCATGGCTGACTGTGTGTGCTGGTAAATGGAGTAGCCGGCTAGGGCTAGAGCTATGAGGCTCAGCGCAAGGCTGAGCCGACTCACAATGGAAGCCATGGTCAAAGTAAACTGTAAGATAGTAGAAAATGAAGAAGGATTTGAGGATGAATATATAATTGCCTCTAAGGTTGTTTCCCTTAAATAGAACATTTGAAAGTGGTTGGGGTCATTTTTTATTTTATTTTTTGATTAATTAGTTAACCGTGTAATATACGTAGTAATATATTTGTTGGAAAAGTTTTAAAACATCAAGTTTAATTAACATTTAAATTCTGTTATATGTTGCATTGTGTGAACAGCTACACACTTATAAAGGAATATAGAAGCGTTAGCCTACCAAGTATATTGTTTGACGGAGTAATATATACTTAGTAACCATAATGTTACAAGTTTGACTCTAGTGGAAGTGTTTTATTGGCCGTTTTGATTTGAACTGGTTAGCTATGTGCAACCTAGTATAATTTATCTTGTGGTGCTATGCCGGCTAGGGTCACAATGCAAAGTTTACTCAGTACACATTTTCGAGTAGTGAGTTTTTCTCGTCATTAAATAAAATGATATAATGGCAATAATGTTTGTAGGTGCAATGCTTTGCCGGCTAGAGTCACAAGACGAGGTTTACTCAGTGCACACATTTGAGTAGTAGTTGTTTGTACTGCATTACGTTGCTGACTAGAGTCACAAAACGAGATTTATCCAATACTATATACATGAGTAGTAGATGCGCGTTTTCCTTATAATTAAAAAATAAAAAATAAAATCGATTATGACAGGAATGTTTGCAGGTGCCACTTGGCCCTGAGGCATGTTGTGGTGTATGATAGGATTTGGCAAACATCAAATTTCAAACTTTGCATCTGACCATGCAATTATCGAATCTTTATGGAAAACAAAAAAGTCGCGCTAGCCGGTAGGTCTGAAATGACGAATAATTCGTCCATTATACAAGTTTGAGTGTTGGACCAGAAGAAAGATGAGCAAATACCAATTTTGATTTTACGAGTATTAACAAAATGATAATTTTGGTCTACATGTTTAATTCCTATCAATTTCCATCCACGACTATTGTTTTAGTACCAATTTTCATCCACAATTATTGTTTTAGTGTCAAATTCATCACGCCGGTCACTCCTTCGTTTAAGATATGCCGGAATATGAAATTATTAAGGGTAGTTTCGTGCTTTTCAAATTAGGATCCATATTTGAGCATGAATAAAGGGATTTAAGCCCTATGATCTATCCCATTTCGCTGTTTTCCTCCTCAAATTAAGGTAGGACGAATTGGGATCAATCTTATGGCTTAAATTCATTTATTTATGCTCAAATTAGAATATTAAGTTGAAAATAATGAAAATTCCTTTAAAATTTTTAAATTTCGGGATGTCTTAAATTGATGGGTGACCGACGTGATGAATTTTGGTACTAAAATAATAGTCATGAATTAAAATTGGTACTAAAACAATAGTTGTGAATGAAAATTGGTAGGAATTAAACATGTGGACTAAAACCGTCATTTTGCTAATACTCGTAGGACCGAAATTGATATTTGCTCGAAGAAAGATTATCTACGCCTTTATCGAAAATAATACATATTTTTATTTTCTAGGAAAAAAAAATTAAAACGCGTTATATGTATAAAATCCAACTTTTCCCGACTATATCATTGACCCCTTGAATGCACCCTCAAGATTCAGGAAAGAGATAAATCTCAAGTTGTATGTGTTCTAAATGTTTCACCGTCTATACAGTTCTGCACACAAGAAATTTTTTATTGGCACCACTAATTGGTCAAGGTCTCCAATGACTCCCTAGGTTTTGAGTGAAGTTCGAACCTCCACCTTATCGTTAGATGTAAAACTAAACGTTGATTGACCGATTACTTAAATTACCATATATAACGATGCAATTTTTATTTTTTAGTTACAAAAAATGACCCGATCATATACAGGAAAACTAAAGTTAATTGTACTTGATCTGAAAAGAATGACTGAGTGGATCATAATTATGTTAGCAGAGGTCAAATAATGGCGTTGCTAACACCTTCTTCAATTCATCCCATTCATATTTACATATGAGAATAGATGTTGAAAATAGAGGGTTTCCTGTACTAGGTGCTAGCTGGTGAGTCATTTTTCCCTTTCTTTTCTGTTTAATTTTTTCTTTATATCCAATTAATGCAAAAAAAAAAATACTCTTTGGCTCTGTTTGGCAACGCTAAGCTATGAGCTTATAGCTTATTTTAAGCTACTAATAAGCTATAAGCTCTGTTTGGTAATGTTTCCAAAATAAGCTTCTAGCTTAAAATAAGAGCTTATTTTGGAATGCTACTTTAGGTAGTGTTTCAAAATAAGCTACTAGATTCCTAACTTTTTTTCCATCTTTACCCTTATTATTTTAAAGTAATGACATATTTTAACCTTATGAATTAAAACCCTTTCTCTTCTCCTATCCCAACTTTCACGTCAATCCCTTCCTTAGTCTTGTTTCTTGCTACACAATTATGTTGAAACTTTAGCTTATTATTATTATTAATGTTAATGTTATTTTAAAATTAGCAATATGGCTTCAATCTCAAATTGAACAAGAACCGCCAACTAATGCTCAAGAAGCATTCAATCGCACACATTCTTCTCTTCGAAGTTGTATTGAGAGGTCGTTTGGAGTATTGAATAAGAGATGGAAGATACTTGCTAAAATGCCGCGGTTTAGTGAGGAGACCCAAATTGATGTTATTATGGCCACATTTGCACTACATAATTATATTCGGAAGAATTCACAAGATGACATGGTGTTTAATGTGCTTGAGCAGCATCCAGATTACATACCGCCCGATGAACTTCAAGATTCAAGTAGTAATATCTCCATCAACGAAAATTTAAGTCACACCTCTATGGAGATGAAGGAGATTCGCAACAATATTGCTACTTCATTATGGGATGCTAGATCATGATGATGCTAATAGTTTTATTTTAAAAAGTGTTTACTTTTTTTTAGAAGACGAAATGTTAAATTGTAATATGTAAACAAACTAATTTAAATTTTATGAAGATGTCTTTTTTAGTCTTTTTACATTTATCAGCTTATCAAAAAGCTAATTTTACCAAATACTTTCAATCATAACAGCTAGCTTAACAGCTCTTCAATTTTCAGCTATCAGCTCCTTTTCAGCTATCAGCTCCTAGCTTATAGCTTTTCAGCTAGATTTGTCATGTAATAAAATTATTAAATTTTCTTTAAAATAATGACGTGATATTACCTAGGTGCCATTTTGTAAGTTGTAAAATGTCAAAATCAAGCGTTTGCACGTGGCTTTCTTTGTCGATGAAATGTGTGCAATGCACAATATGATATGGAGTATGGAAACCATATTATTATTATTATTATTTTATTTACATATAATTTCTGTTTCTATTTTTTTCAAGAAAGAAGAAAAGGAAAAAAGGAATCAAGAAGAATTTCACAAATGTTGCACGTGGCATGCACGCAGCCGCCGGTCCCTTGACATCTTGTATGAAACTGTGGCCGCCACACGTTATCTTTGGATTTTGTCCGTCAAAGTTGATTATATTCGTGAAAATTATACGTCAATACAATAATGGAGAAAGGGAAATCGAATAAAGAAAGAAAAAAAACTATTGAAATTAATGTACAAAAAAAAAAGTTTAACATTTATATCAATATTTATTAAATTATAACTTCACAATCCATATCTTATATTTAAAATTATTATTTATTAAAATTATTATTTTTTAAATCAGATCAGATACGTTTTAAAATTAATTATTATTTTTAATTTAATTTCATGCCACAACCACTGCAGTATTCTGATTTGTGTTTTAAGTGAAGTCTACATTGTTATTGTGATAATAACTGATAAAGAACCACAAAGAGATAAATTAACATAATTCAAATTCACATAGCTAGCTAGCTAACTTAACCCATGAAAATAAATAGACTTTTACAAGGATATGATGGTCAAATTTAAAACCTTGTGGTTACCAAATTAATGTCATGTTTAGGTCCCTTAATTAGGTTCAATTCATTAAGAAGTTTGTTTAAATATTTTTGTATTTTATTTCAGTAAATCATAATAATTTGTAATTTTGATAGATCAATATATCTTAGATGTATAAATAATAAATATTTTATTTTATTACAATTTTCACCGCACTAGGTAAATTTTCCATTGTAATCCTAGCAAATAAAAATCACAATGAAGTAAATCAACATAAGTTGTCATAGCTGACCAACACAAACCAAGAAGGTCATTTATGTCACTCTTGTTGGGAGTTGAACTTGTAACATAGTAATTTGTAGGTCAAATTAAATACCTATGAAGTCCTTGTACTATCGTATTTTGTTCGATCAATTTAGTCCTTATACATTTATTTTGTTCAATTATTTAGTCTCACTACTTTAAAAAGTGGCGAAACTAAAGACAATTGTCTAAGGCTCTGTTTGGCAGAGCTTATTTAAGAGCTTATTGCTTATTTTAAGCTAGTAATAAGCTATAAGCTCTGTTTGGTAATGTTTTAAAATAATAGCTTATTTTGGCCAATCGTTATACCCTACACCACGGCGCGCGTAGCACTGTGCGCCGCACGCCTCCCAAAACGACGTCGTTTTGGGAGGCGCGGTAGGAAGTTGCTGTGATTATGTATATTTGTTCATACAATTATGTATATTTGTTCATACAATTATGTACATTTATTATACAATTATGTACATTTTTTTTATACAATTATGTACATCCGAATCAGAAAATTTTTGTGTATTATGTCAAGAGTTGATGTGTATTATGTTAAAAGTTTATGTTTATTATGTATTATGTTAGATTATGTGTATTATCTTTTAAAAAACAGTATGTATATTTTGTTATACAATTTTGTACATTCATGTATACAATTATGTACATTCATGTATAACATTATGTACATTTTTGAACATGAGATTTTTTTTAAAGAAAAATTAACCGCCAAACACTGGGTAGCGAAATTTTAAAAAAAAAAAAAAATCTAAAACGACGTCGTCTTGCATCTGGGTGCACAATGCAACGCACGCGGTGGTGTAGGATATAATTACCTATTTTGGCACGCTACCTTAGGTAGCATTTCAAAATAAGCCCCTAGCTTCCTAACTTTTTTTTTCCATCTTTATCCTTATTATTTTAAAGAAATGACATAATTTACCCTTCCCAGTTAAAAATTTAAAACCCTTCTCTTCTCCTTTATCCGCAACTTTCACCGCAAATATTATTATTATTATTATTATTATTATTATTATTATTATTATTATTATTATTATTATTATTATTATTATTATTATTATTATTATTATTATTATTATTATTATTATGAGATTTGCAACAATATTGCTACTTCATTATGAGATACTAGATCATGATTATGCTAATAGTTTTATTTCAAAATGTTAATTTTTTTGTAGAGACAAAATGTTAAATTTTAATATGTAAACAAACTAATTTAAATTTTATGAAGATGTCATTTTTAGTCTTTTTATATTTATCAGCTTATCAAAAAGCTAATTTTACCAAATACTTTCAATCATAACAGCTAGCTTAACAGCTCTTTAATTTTCAGTTCCGAGCTTATAGCTTTTCAGCTTTCAGCTTTCACCTCCTAGCTTATAGCTTTTCAGCTAGGTTTGCCAAACAGAGCCTAAATCTTATTAAGAACATAGGGTGTATTTGGTTCGCACATAGGAATCGGAATCGGAATGGGTATCAAATACTTGGTAATGGTAATGGGTTTTGGTGAAAGTATTTAACATGTTTGGTAGTAGGGTGGAATGAGAATGGTTACTAATAGTAGTGCTTGAAAATGAATAAGGGAATGAAACCCTTAGGGGTCGTTTGGTTCACGGAATGTCAGATTACCTAGGGAATGTTAGATTGCTGGGAATGTTAGATTACTGGGAATGTTAGATTCCTGTGTTTGGTTAAAATTGAGGTATGTAATATAATCATGTTTGGTTTAGGGTTATCTTTATTCACACACTATAATATCCTTAACATATTTTCATATATTTTAATAAATTTAAAAATTAAAATAAATAAATAAGATAACGGTACCATATATAATTACATGATTTTAAAATATTAACTAAAATATTGAACTTGAGAAACAAAATTATTTTATATGCTAACCTAACATAATAAAAATAAAAAATATATAATTACAAAAATAATTATATATGTGTGTGTGTGAGAGAGAGAGAGATATATAAACTAACATAACCAATGTTATCTTACATAACCTTAGAAATTGAAGGGAATCACATTCCCTTCAAAATCCTATGTGGAGGGAATGTGACATTCCTGGGGAATGTTAGATTCCCTGAGATAATGTGAACCAAACATAGAAATGTGAGCTTTGGAATGTCACATTCCCTTGGTTATGTTATATAACCTGAACCAAACGCCCCCTTATTGTATTTGGGTATGGGTTTTTCAATTGATGGGGTATTCGAAACCCATAGTAGTGTTTTAAAACCTATCAACCAAACAACAACAATCACTTTCATACACATTCCTATGGGCAAAACCCACCAACCAAACACACCCATAGTTGTAATTATTTTGGACATACTAGTTTAATATATTAGTGGTAAAAATAAATAATTTTAAATATTTATAAAGTAATATATGACTAGGAATAAAAATATCGTCAGCGTCATGTAACATAAGTTAACGATAATATTAGCACCGTTAACTATTGTCCTTAATTGCACAACTTTTGAAAGTACAGGGACTAAATTGAGTAAAATAAAGATATAAGGACTAAATTGAACAAAACGATATAGTACAAGGACCTCGTGGATACTTTTACCTAATTTGTATTATATATAACTAGTATTTTTACCCGTGCGTTGCACGAAATGAATTTGTTATAATATTTAAAAAATATTTAGATCAATATACAATTATATAAATTATGACAACAAATATTATATAGTGCAATTGATGAAATGAGTTGAATTGATTAAGTTTTCTGATGTTATCATTTCTTGAATTCCAGCAAATAATTGTCCAATTACAGATTATTACAGAAAATAAAACGGAAAGGATCCCTAATTGTCTGAAAATGAAAAAAGAAAAATATTATTGATTATTATATTCCTTAATAAGTGTTAGTGATTATTATTCTTTTTCTATTGAATGATTATTATTATTCCTTAATAAGTATTATAATTTCCTAATTGACTGATTATTATTATTTCTTAATAAATATTACTGATTATTATTTATTTTCTGTTGAGTGATTATTATTATTCCTTAATAAGTATCGGTATTAAAAAAAAAAGTATCTGTATTTCCTAAATGACTAATGATTATTATTCCTTAAAGAAGTATTATCGATTATTATTACTTTTCTATTGAATGATTATTATTATTATTCCTTAATTAATTAATTATTATTAATTTCTTAATAAGTATTAGTGATTATTATACAAAAGAAAATGAAAATCACTTAATAAGTATTACTTATTTTTTTTATTGAATGATTATTATTATTCCTTAATAAGTATTATTATTCCCTAATTGACTTATTATTATTATTATTATTATTCTTTAATATGTATTACTGATTATTATTCTTTTTCTATTGAATGATTATTATTATTCCATAATACGTATTATTATATATTTCCTAATTGAATGATTATTATTATTCCATAATAGGGTGTTTGGTTTACAGGAATAGAATTACTGGGAATTGCAATTCCAATGTTTGGTATACATGGGAATTGAAAGGGAATAAGTAGTATAAAGTAAAAAATGTCCATTCTTGTTGTTAGACATTAAAAATTTAGGTTAAAAAAGGAAGGGGTAATTTTGACTCATCACTATCTTTTTTTCCCAAGAATTAAAATCTCGGAGGGGGGGGGGGGGGGGGGGGGTGGGGACATGAGATTTTAATTCCATGAAAATGGGGGAATTGCAATTCCTTTCAACCAAACAAAGGAATTTTGTGGCCTTTGAAATTAGATGGGAAGGAATTTAAATTCCCTTCAACCAAACGCCCTGTAATATGTATTACTGATTATTATTTCTTTTATACTGAATGATTATTATTATTCATTAATACGTATTATTATTTCCTAATTGACTGATGATTATTATTCCTTAATAAGTATTACTGATTATGTTTTTTATTGAATGATTATTATTATTCCTAAATGAGTATTATTATTCCTTAATTGACTAACTATTATTATTCCTTAATAAGTAGTACTGATTATTATACAAAAGGAAATGAAAATTACTTAATAAGTATTACTTATTATTATTATTATTATTATTATTATTATTATTATTATTATTTATTTTCTATTGTTTTGGCGGAATTGCAATAAAGGAGAATTTTGTTTTTAATAATAGTATAGATTATACAACGGATAGGAAAATAGAAAATAATATATTTTATTAGAAAGAGTTATTTTTTAGGAATTGGATGAGAAGTTAAAGTTCAGAATTTTGTTTTTTTTATATATAGTATAGATTATAATAGAATTGTATTACGACACTATTTTATAATATTATAATATGAATTTTAACCTAGAATTATAGTACGAATATGAAAGTAGAAAATAATATATTTTTATCTGAAACAAAGATTTTTTAGCAATTGGGCGGGAAGTTAAAGATTAGGATTTTCTTTATATATAGTATAGATTAGAATAAGAATTATATTACACTATTTTATAATATTAGAATATGAATTTTAACCTAGAATTATAGTACGAATACCAAAGTATAAAACAATATATTTTTATCAGAAAGAGAGATTTATTAGGAATTGGGCAGGAAGTTAAAGTTCAAGATTTTATTTTTATATATAGTATAGATTTGAATAGGAATTGTATTACACTATTTTATAATATTAGAATATGAATTTTAACATAGAATTATACAACGGATAGGAAAACATAAAACAATATATTTTATTATAAAGAGATATTTTTTAGGAATTGGAAGGCAAGTTAAAGTTCATGATTTTATTTTTATATATAGTATTTTTTTTGAAGGTTATTTTTATATATAGTATAGATTAGAATAGAATTGTATTACACTATTTTATAATATTAGAATATAAATTTTAGCTGGCATGGGTAGCTCAACTGTAGAGGTGAAACTTTGGAAGAATGACCAGGGATCAAGTCTCACTAGCGGCAGTGTGGAAGCAGGCTCCTATCCCATGATTTACATCCTTCCAAATGCTCTCTATTTTGTTTTTATAGATATAAAACGTATATTGGATAACAAATTTATAAATTTTATTCAGTAATACAATTTTTGTTGGACATAAAAAAAAAAAAAAAAAAAAAAAATTATTTGAGAAACATAAAGTGAAAAATCTTAACAGTTGAGTAAAACTTTCACAGAATCACAGATGGCGATGAGAACGAACTTCACATGGATGCAACTGTGTTGGCATTCACCTCGCTGCAAACGTCGCGGATTTCGAGCTCCACTCCGGCGGACGGCGGAAGGAGGCTCATCTTCACCATGGCGGCGGCGAAATCGGTCAAGAAAGCGTCCATCTCGTCCCGGTACTTCCTAACGGCGGCGCTGGTGGTGTTGCTATTCATCAGTTCGTTGTCGGAGAACAGAAGACCCTGACCGTTGGCGACGTCGGAGTAAAAACTTTTGTCCCACGATAACGGAGTGGGGTCCAGGCCCACCAACTCAGTGTTGTCGGGACTCACCGGACAGTTGCATTGCAGCGTGGAGGCCCGGGCGGGATTGATGAAAGTGGGAACGCATAAAAGCGGACATCTCGAAAACCCAACTGTGTGAACACCTAACAAGGCGACCAATTCCGTTTCGGTGAACCCTTTGTCCGCAAATTTCTGGATTTGCGATGCCAATTCTTCGTCTGGTCCGACGAGTTGGGTGTTAGCTCCGGTAAGGTTCGCCGTTCTTGCATCGCCTCTTCCCAGAGTCACGGTGTACGTTTCTCCGGTGAACTGTAAACCACGTTCAAATGCAAATATAAATATATGTTCATGACGACGAACCTTATATTATCTTAATATTTATGATCAAATGCACTTACTCTTGTGAAAGAATCACGGGCAGCAATGGATAAGATGTCGGCACAAGATACTGGTATATAGGGACATTTGGCTTTCACATTCTGTTTAGCTTGTTCTATCACCTCAAAACCTCTGACTGAGTTATTATTCCCGCCGGCGGTCTGTTCTCCGGTGAAAGTAGGTGTATCGTTTAGTAGAAGACCCGCGTCACAACCCTGCAGATAATACATTAACACACTTATCAATCTGTTTCCTAAAAAAAAAAAAAACATCATCGTACAAAATTAGCGTACGTACATCAACAAAGCAGTCATGGAAGAAGAGGCGAATGAGGGAAGCAGCCATGCGGGTTTCTGCATCAATGGCGGCGTCCACTACTTCCTTAACGGCGGAGAATATGCACGCTTCGTCGGAAAGCTTGCCGGAGGAGATGCCAAGGCGTAGTGAGATCAAGTTGGCCACCGACGACTCTAAAGTGTTGTCCAGCCAATTTGGGGTAAGCTTAAGCTGCCCTTTCATGGCTGTATGGGTATTCTGGTAAATGGAGAAGCCAGCTAGGGCTAGGGCTATGAAGCTAAGGGCCAGGCTGAGCCGAGTGACAAAGGAAGCCATGATATGATGATTATCACAGCAATGGAAGAATGAAGGAGAAATGATTGGTCGAGCTGAGGATTAATGGCTTCTCAGGCCTCCTTAAATAGAAAACTTGAAAGGGAAAGTTCTTCGATAAGTATTAAAATATTATTGTTGATAATGAAGCAAACTGAGATTTGATTTGTTCTAATTTGAATTTTTAATTGTTGGCAACATAATATAATATAAGATAATTTATTATGGTCGAAGTATTTTGTATTAATAATATGAGTTTGTCCTGCTGCTAATATGCAACATACTAACTATCCTGATCAAACACAGAGAATGATCAATTTTATTTTATTATACTTATCTAGCAGTTAGTATTTTCGAATGTCAGAATATTGGACTCAGCCTTTTAAGCCCTTTAAGTCTCCGTCGAAGACCACTATTTTATTCATTTGATATTGTTTAATTTGACGATAATGGAGTAGGTGAGTTGTATTATCATGACTTAAGTATATGTGAATATAAAATGTTAAGTGTGCTATATGTAGGGTTGAAGACTATGATGAGGATTAAGTATAGTACCATTCATCCAAATAATGTGAGTATATGTACGGAGTATATATATATATATATATATATATATATATATATATATATATATATAATTTGAAAAATAGATAAATAATCATGTTGTTTCCCAGGAACTTCTCATAGTCATAGAAAAGTAAATTTTGCCTCGAAAAAAATGGATGGTTAAATGGGTAAAACATGATTATTGTACAGAAGACCACAAATTCAATTATTCTCTTGCCAACATCCTCTTAGTTAAACTTTTTTTTTTCTTTTTGGACAATTAGTTGTGTGACATGACCACAGTTTACATAATATTTTAAAAATACTCTATTACCCTTTCACAAAAATTAGCAATTATGGTCAAATGTCATATGATAGCACTTCTTCCCCCTAAGTTATATACTTATAGCACTTTTCCCCCCTGAATTATTCAAGTGGCTGTTTTTTTCCCTGAAATGTTAAATAGACATATTTACCCTTAAAATAAATATTTCATTTATTTTCCTTCTGCAACAAATTATGACCATAATTTGGTTCAAATCAAACAAACACTATAGCAACCAAACCGAAATATTCCAATTACAATTTAGAATCGAAACTCGATATTTAGAGTTTATTAAAATCGCGAACCGGAATGGATGGTTAATGTTCCGAACTGAAAAAATAAAATTCATTTATTTTTGAATTTAGAATATTTAAAATAAAAAATAAAATTTTAAAATAAAGACGGTTCAAAATCGCGAACCGGATCCAGAACCTCCGATTCACGGTTCAAGATCCAATTTTTTTGATTCATAATTTTAATAAATTGAAATCCAAATATTAGGTTCTAGATCTGAATCATAACTGGAAACTTTTAATTCAATTGCTATAGTGTTCGGTTCAGTTTGATCCGAACCGTGGTCATCCCTACGTATACGCGATAATTTGTTGGAGAAGTAAAATAAATAAAATGTTTACTTTAAGGGTAGAAATGTCAATTTAATATATCAGGGGAAAAAACTACCACTTTTAGAATAATTGAGGGAGCTAATGTGCTTACCTAAATAATTGAGGGAGAAAAAGTGCTATAAGTATATAACTCAGGGGGAAAAAGTGCCATTTTTCCTAAATATAATGATCAAGTTGATTGAAAATGGGGTTGAGTGATCCATTTCATTTCATTAAAGTAAATTTCTGCTTTTTCTTTTCTTTTATAATTTTAGGTATAGTTGCTTAGCTTGACTTTTCTGCAACAGTTTAGCCGTCGATCCTAAAAGACATCGGATTTGGTACAACTGCATTATATGAACCCTTGTTCAACGAAGAATGTTAAGCATAGTCTTCAATCTTATCCAAATCCACGTTATAACTTATAAATAAGAGCAGCTTTAATTGTCAAACATGTATGTACCACACATTATATATACACTCATATTATATTAGTATTAGTATGTACTAAATTGCTTCACGTTTTCGAGTTTCCTGTCGGTTGTCTTGCTTGGAGTAATACTATATGGATTATGTAGTATTATGAATAAGGACAAATTATACCTAATTTGATGAACTGCATTAGAAAAATTCTGTGTAACGAGTTTGATCGAAAAATTTTTAATTGGTAAAAATCGAATATGTAAGCTTCTAGTGTGAGAATCGTACTTTACCCACATAGTCATTTAAGACATATTAAACAATAGATCACGTTTTTTTTTTCTTTTTTTTTTTGGGTTTAATTTTCATCATTTAGTAAATTAAAGTCAAGCCATGTAACGAGTGTGAGGCAATCCCAGACAAGTTCGTAGGAAAGTTGACTTGGTAACTAAGGATTCAAGTCGACTCATTGTGAGAGCTGTTTATTGGCCTTCTTGATTTGACCCGATCAATTATGGACAACTTATCTTTATTTATGTCATTGTGATCCTTTGTGAGCTAGAGTCACAAGACATGTTTCACCTAAAATACACATTTCGGTTACACGAGTAATACTTTTTAAAAGTATGTTTAATTTTTTTTCTCCCTTATTTATAATTGATTAATTAAAACTTGGTATGTTAATTATTGTTAAAGGAGATTTATATTCCAATTTAATATTATATCAATCACTTTCCAAGATGTTGCGTGGGAGGCACAATTCAAAGATTTTGGCCTTGTTTCCAGCTTTCACTGAGATATGGATATAAATATACAAATAAATACGGGGAAAGAAGTGGTCTCCACTAATTAAAAATAATATAACTTGTAACTACTCTTCTGAATTGTAATTAGTACAGATAATATATAAAATTAATTAATTAATTATATATATATATATATATATATATATATATATATATATATATATATATATATATATATATATATATATATATATATATATATATATATATATATATATATATATATATATATATATATATATATATATATATATATATATATATATATAAGTTCGAGGAGGAGAACGATATGTGAAGATATTGACCTTTCAATGGTGGTGAAACCATGGTGGCCACACGGCTGCGTTGGCAAGGAAGACATATCACATATGGGACTATTAATGTCAATTGGGATCTTGTGGTGGTCACACGCCTGCCATGTTCAACAAGAATGCGCTCATTTTATTCCATATTTAACCTAATAAAGGCCTTAAAAGAGGTAATCAAATAAATGAAATATAATTCTCCAAAATTTTGATTATTACTAATATTATTTTTCTTTATCGAATGTGGTTTAGTTGATGTAAAAACAATTTTAGAATCCGCAATCACTATTTGAGGAGTAGTTATGCTGTGCATCCGTATGCACTGGTGCATACGAATGCAAAAACGACGTCGTTTTATAAAAAACGCGCGTCTCCCCTTTAAAAAAAAAAATTCAGGTTCGATTCCCAGCAACAATATTATGTTGTTCATTCATTCTAGAATTTTAGTTTATAGATTATGGAATTTTAGTTCATCGATTCTGGAATTTTAATTCATTATTCTGGAATTTTTAGTTCATAGATTAGATTCTGGAATTTTAGTTCATAGATTCTGGAATTATAGTTCATCGATTTTGAAATTTTAGTTCATATGTTGTTGTTGGGAATCGAACCTGATTTTTTTTTTTTAAAGGGGAGACGCGCGTTTTTAATAAAACGACGTCGTTTTTGCATCGATGCACATCATAATTTGCCCTATTTGAGAGTTCACTAGGTAAACCATTACTTGTGACTCTATCTGGTGAAAGACTACAATGAGTTAAATCAACATAGATTGATCATATATAGCTGACTGGTTCAAACAATTCATGTAAATATAGACAATTCCGCTAGATTAATTTTATGATTATCAAGTCAACAACTTAACCAATTTAGTTGGAGTTATCACTTAATATGATGTAATAGAATATTTAGTCATTTGTTGGATTTGGATAATAATAAAAAGCCTATACCTGAATACACAATAGTATATATTTATCTGTTGTTAAGATATGTTAAACAGGTTTAGGGTACTTTATGAGTAATTCTAAATAGGTTTGCGACGTGTATGTGTGACACTTATTTGAGTTTATATAATTCAAATTCAATAGTGATTAAACAGGGAGCGGTATGGTAGGGATGGCAACGGGGCGGGGCGGGGGCGGGGAATGGGGTCCCCGTCCCCGTCCCTGAAATGTCCCCCCATTCCCCGTCCCCGCCCCGTTCCCCGGCGGGGATGGGGAATTATTCCCCATCCCCGTCCCCGCGGGGATTTTTCGGGGACGGGGAATCCCCGCCCCGTTTTGATTCATGCTTACTTTTTTTTTTTTTTTTTTTTTTAAAAACACACATAATATAATATGCATTCTTAACAAAACTAGAGAAACACAGTTTTGTTAAGGAAAAATCTTAAATCGCAAAGATGAAAAAAAAAAAATCATCTACTAATACCATGAGAATATGCAGAGATAGAGAATGAAGAATATAATACATTGATGTTCAATAATAATTTAAACAAATAAACATAGCCTATTTATACAAGATATATGTACGGTATTACGGTAACAATGAACATAAAATGTATGTACCTAAACTAGAATACTAATTACATGGAAATTCAAGAATATGATTAAATATATACAAGAGAGATATTAATTTATATATAATATTAATATTATTAGTCAGGGATTCGGCGACGGGGCGGGGATCGGGGTCGGGGCCGGGGCGGGAAATGCCCTCCCCGTCCCCGTCCCCGTCCCCGACGGGGATTGAAAAATTCCCCCCATCCCCGCCCCCGTTCCCCGAAATAAATCCCCGAACCCATCCCCGTCGGGGCGGGGAACGGTTTTCCCCATTGGGGGCGGGTTCAATTGCCATCCCTACGGTATGGTACTACCCTTTGTCATCATCGCCAGCTGCACAGCCAGTTGCCCACTTGCCCAGTTCCTTAGCCGCCCCTAAAATTAATTGAAGATAAAAACTGATCACTTTATGGCTATATTTGATAAAATAGTTAACCTATCAACTAATTTTAGCTTGTTTAATTATAATTAATTGTACTATTTGACTTAATTAAATAATCAATATGAATGTTTAATTAATTAGCTTTGTGTAACCATTTATTATTTTAAAACACTAAATTCAAAAAATTCTCAAAGTAGTTTTTTGATAAGTTTTTTGATCGAGAAAGTCATTTTGTATATATGTAATCAACTATTAGCTAACAACTAATTTATCAAACATCTTTTTACAATCAGTTAGTATTTTTAACTAGTCAAACTTACTAACACGATCAACTAACAGCTATTTACCAATCGTTATGCTGTGGAACCGTGTCCACCTTGCAAGGTGAAAACGGTTCTATGTTCATAATTACTGAACTATATGTTCATAATTATAAAGCTTTATATTCATATTTGGACTTCATATTCGCAATTACTGAATCTCTATATTCATAATTACAGAACTATATGTTCATAATTATGTTCACAACTCTATGTTCATAATTATAGAACTATATGTTCATAATTTTTGAACTATATTATAAGATAGACACGATTCCACCGCATAATTTGCCGCTATTTACCAAACACCCCTAAATCAATAATTTCTCCTAAACATGGGTTAGGTTTTGAATAATGCGTGCAATAATTGCTCAGATTGGTAGCACAAGAATATGAAAAAGATTGGAATACGACAAATAATACATACAAGGATATATCATATATGGGAGAAGGATATATCATATATGGAGTAAGTACACTACTTTTTAGGAGCATATAGCATCTCACATTTTGATGATCATAATAACAACAACGTAGTACAGTCAAATAAGTTGGGTAGATCAGATCGTTATATCGATCTGGGTCGCCAAAACTAAAACGAAAACAGAGAGCAACTTCTTTTTTCTTCATCTTCTTATTTTTTGATATATTAAGATTCTCCAATTCACCACGGGTGAAATAAGATTATTTCAGAAGAATCTCAATTCTTCACATGGATGCAACTGAGTTGGCATTCACCCTGCTGCAAACGTCGCGGATTTCGAGCGCCACTCCGGGGGACGGTGGCAGGTTGCTCATCTTCACCATGGCGGCGGCGAAGTCGTTGAGGAAAGCACCCATGGCGTCCCTGTACCTCCTCACGGCGGCGTTGGTGGTGTTGCCTTTCAACAGCTCATTGTCGGAAAACAGAAGGCCTTGACCGTTAACGACGTCGGAGAAATAGCGTTGGTCCCACGTTGTCGGAGTGGGGTCCAGGCCCACCAACCCGGTGCTGTTCACAGTTCCCGAGCAGTTGCAATTCAGAGTGGAGACCCGAGCCGGATTAATGAAAGCGCTAATACACAAAAGCGGACATCTCGCAAACCCGATTGTATGTGAACCTAACAGGGCCACCATCTCCGTCGCGTTAAACCCTTTCGCCGCAAATTTGCTGAGTTGAGACGACAAAACTTCGTTTGGTCCGACGAGTTGGGTGTTAGCTCCGGTGAGGTTCGCCGTTCGAGCGTCCCGTCTTCCCAGTGTCACCGTGTACGTTGCGCCGCTGAACTGTAAATATAAATATATGGTCACAAAAATGCTAAACTGTATATGTTGTTGACCTGATAATCATTGGTATAAGTTTGTCTGGCACAGAATTGTTTATTAATTTTTTATTTTTATTAAAATTCACCCACTATAGAGAGTACTTTAGTCTTTTACTTACTAAGATCACAAAATGGTCACTCAAAAATGGCCACACAAAATAGACTTACTTTCTCAAAAGAATCACGAGCAGCAATGGATAAAATGTCGGCACAAGATACAGGCGTGTTTGGGCATTTGGTTTTCGCATTCTGTTTAGCTTGTTCTATTACCCCAAAACCTCGGACTGAGTTAAGATTGCCGGCGGCGGTCTGTTCTCCGGTGAAGGTAGCCGTATCGTTGAGCAGAAGACCTGCATCACAACCCTGCAGAGAAATACATTAATATCAGTCCGTTTCTTTCCCAATGCAGTACAGGTAAAAAAAAAAACATCATCGTACAAATTAAAATAATTTGCGTACATCAACGAAGCAGTCATGGAAGAAGAGACGAATGAGGGAAGCACCCATGCGAGCTTCTGCATTAATGGCGGCGACCACTACTTCCTTAACGGCCGAGAATACACACGCTTCATCGCCGAGCATACCGCCGGAGGGTTTCCCAAGACCAAGCGACAACAGGTTGGTCGACTTTAATGTCGTGTCCAGCCACGTAGGGGTAAGCTTAAGCTGGTCTTTCATGGCGGTTTGTGTGTTTTGGTAAACAGCGCAGCCTGCTAGGGCTAAGGCTATGAAACTAAGGACAAGGCTGAGCTGTTTCATGAAGGAAGCCATGATTACAGTACAGTAAAGGAATTGATGTATGAACAAGAAGGGCTTGATTGATGCACAATGGTTTCTTCTTCTTAAATAGAAAATTTGAACCTTGAAATTTCTTCTTTCAGCAATAAATTATTATTATTCTTCCCTATAAATTATTATTATTGTTGTTGATCAGGCCCTATTTTTAAATTTTTGTGGTCCTATTTGAGTAAAAATAAATAAGGCCCTACCAAAATTAAAATGTTTAAAACAAATACCGTAATTTTATTATCAAAATACTACGTATATAACACAAAAAATTTATCCGTGTATCGCACGCACATCGCACGGATAATGGGCAATATAAAAAAACACATTCGATACAACTCATTTCATCAATTGCACTATATAATATTCGTTGTTATAATTTAAAGATTATAACAAATCTTTTCCGTGCAACGCACAAGTAAAAATAGACATATTATGGAATAATAATAATAATAGTGTGCACAAGTTTTGAACCTTTGACCTCAAAGTTAAAATACAATAAATACATGTTTGTATCATTTTTTTATAAAGCCTTTTAGGTTTTTGGTTTAATTAAAAACGTTTAATTTTCATTACTATACTAACTAGGTAAAAATAAAATATTGAGCTTCTAAAATTTGGGGCCCCTCTAAAATTTGGGTCCTATGCTGTAGCCCAGCTTGCACAGTCCAAAATCCGGGCCTGTTGTTGATAAAGAAAAGCTAACTGAGAGTCTGAGATTTGATTTCTTTTATTTTGATATATTTATATTTTACATTTTTCGCAGTCTATTAAACTACAGTCTGACAATGATATTAATTAATAGTATTTGTTAGTCCCCCATTTTAACTTTTCTTATTACTCCGTATTTTCTAATTAAAGAGTTGTTGATTTGTGCTATCGTGTAACTATAATTGGTGTATGTACTTTTTTATTTTAGCTAACTCTGATTTTTTTATAATTTTTGTTTTGTTTTGTTTTGTTTTTTTTCTTATATGTCTTGTGAAATTAAATTAAATTAAATCTTGTGCAATATAATGATCTCGATCAAAATAATATTAATTAGAATCGAACTCAGGATCATCTCATTTTGTGGTTTGTATATTGCCATGGTCAACGGTCATCACATAATAAAAGCTAAGCTTATCTTTATATATCAATTATTTGCTAAGTGGGCTCCACGCGAAGTATTATAGCATGTGTCCATTATTTATTTATATATTTCTGATTGTCGAGGGCTTGTAACAAGTGTGATTGATACAGAAAAAGATGTGTTACTATTTTTGTAATTTTTTTTGTTTTTTTTTTATCTGATAAAATAAGAACATGTGACGAGAATTATAATTCGAAAGACGGAAAAAGAACACACTTACTGTTTTTTAGTTTTATGATGTAAATCCGAGGTATTGATTCGTCGCTTATAACTATATATATGCAATTTAACTTCTTTTTTGTTTTTTTCTGCATTGAATTTAAATTAAAATCCAAAGAAGGAAATGTAAGAAGATTCGTCGAATATTAAAAATGGAGTTGCGTGTTCAAATGGAATATACCTTTGTTATCTGTGTTCAAATTACAACGCCCAGTTGCATATAATGGGGCTGCTAGCTTCCAATTGTCAAAATTAGCCCAACGCTATATTGATTCCTATAGTACTCCTTTCACATTTTTTCTTGAGTAACATGAAAATTTTCCACCCACTACTTTGAGAATGACTACAAGATAAAATTTGTTCTTATGTAATAACTCATAAATCACACAAAAGAGGTAAATTACACACAAAAAAGATCATTTGCGGCGAATTCCATTAAGCGTCGTATTATCACATTTGTAATTCACTCATTGGTTTGTGTTTTACATCCCTATAATTTTATCCCAATTTAAACAACAATATCAACTATAACAAATAATTAATCCTCCTATCTCATTTTAGCTGTCATGTCTACTATTCAGTTGTCAAACTAACTATTTATTCTTTGCATATTTTTATTAGTATTTTTTTTTACTTATTTTTAAATTTGACTTTTTGTATTTAATAACACTTTTAATTTAGTTTCTAAATATATAAATTTTGTATATTACTACTAAACTTAATATTATGAAAATTGAATGAAAAATCATTTCAATCAAACAACATTATTCGAACAAGAAATATAAAATGAGACAGGTGGAGTAATACATAATTTTCTTTACTCCGTAAGCGCACTTTATCATTTGGTAATTATTATATCATAGAGTGGGGTTTATCTGGGGTTCACAAAATAATACGGAGTAATTTGCTACCATTTGACAAGGTGGCCATGATTTGGTGAACATGGATGTGATGTTGTCAGACTATTCTTAAGATTACAATCTAATGGTAATTTTTATAGGCGTGACTATGAAAGAAAAGATGAGAGAGAAGAGAAAAAGTAAAATAAAAAAACGGTATTTTTTATGGGTGCCGGCATGTAGTGCACGCGTCCCAACTGGGCGGGCGCGAGAGCTGCACCTCACGCGAGGCAAATGGCGTTGTAGTTGGGCTGTGGTGGGCCGACTTCACTGCCAAAAATCAAGTGTTTGCATGGAGGTTTATTTTTTCTCTCTCCCCTCACCTTCTCTCCTTCATATAAACCAAGCTTCCTCAAAAAATCTATCCAAAACGTATAGATGTGGATGCTCTTAGTTAAACTGAACATGACTTGTGTTCTCTCCAAGGTTGCAGTAGGCGCTAGGCGCTAGTCGGGCGGCCAGGCAGCGCCTAGGCGGAATCTAGGCGGCGCTAGGCGGGCACCAAAAAAATTAAAAAAATAGTGACAGACTTGTAGTTTGACAATTTTAATGAGCCTGTTTTCAACTTTCAATCAAATAACACGTTCAAATAAATTAAATAATGATAATTTATAAGTCATAACATCATAATAATATTAAAACCAATAATTGATGAAAGACGAAATCGATCAAAATCGGTCAAAATTGAACAAAATTAGTCAAAATAGGACGAAATCGGCCGACTCAGCCGAGTTGGCCGACTCGGCCGAGCAGGGCTGAGTTGGCCGAGTTGGCCGCCTAGGCGGCCGGCCGAGTTTTGGCCGCCTTTAGGCCAAAACGCCAAGTCCTTGTGCCGCCTAGCGCCTAGGCGGCTAGGCGGCCGAGTTTTACAACCTTGGTTCTCTCACAGTCGTTATATCATGCACCAAGGTGCACAATGCATTGTGCGCCTTGACTAAAACGACGTTGTTTTTATTGTTCAGATTTTATGTGTATTATGTTAAGAGTTTGTGTATTATATATTATATTATATAATGTGTATTCTGTTATGAGTTTATGTATATTATGTTAAGAGTTTATGTGTATTATGTATTATGTTAGATTATGTGTATTTTGTTATTAATTTATTATGTGTATTATGCATTATGTTAGATTATGTATATTCTGTTATGAGTTTATGTACGTTCGAAATAATTTTTTTTTTTTTTTTGAATTTAATGATAGAAACGGAAACTGAATTTCTAAAAGACAAAAAAAAAAAAAAAAAAAAAAAAACGTAATCAAAATAACGTGGTTTTAACTAGGACACATAATGCACTATGCGCCTGCTGCACGATATAATTTGCCGTCCTCTCATTCATGGCCCACGAGTAACCATGTGTCTACTTTGTTCTTTGAAAATTAAATAATACGTCTTGCTAATCTAGTAAATGGGCTAAACATGAAACTTACCCAGTGGCCTAGAAACCTAAAGAATGTCCAAGTCTTGAAGTGGATATTGTGGTGACCCAACAATAAAAAGTTTCACTATATTTCGGCAAATTATATCGTGGACCGCGGTGCATAATCAATTATGCACCTCGCATCAAAACAACGTCGTTTTGTTTAATGAAAAGAAACGTTATCCGTTTCTCGCTGTTCTGCACCCTTCCATAAAAAGTAACTCTATTATTCAATTTCATTTTGAATACATTGCAGTTTCAGTCAACACAACTATAATTTCATTTCGATATAACTATAGTTTCATTCGATATTTATAAACTCAAATATATGAAAATGTTATTTAATTTTATTTTATATATACTATAGTTTTATTAAAACAGAACTACATGATCATTTTGATATAATTACAGCTTCATTGTACAATATACACTCAAATATGTGAAATGTTATTCAATTTCATTTTATATACACTGCAGTTTCATTTCACCACAACTACAATATTATTTTGATATAACTGCAGTTTCATTTGATAATATAAAAATAATACGTGAGGCAGTTCGGTTTAAATATACTATAGTGTCAGTTGGTAATTAACATACAAAAATACGCGCTCCGTTAACACTAACGGCGCGTCATTTCTTTACTTAAAGAAACGGTGACGTTTTGACCACGGTGCATGTGCACCGCGGTCCAGAATATAACGACCCTCTAGTGATTTTGTGAAAAAATATTTTTGTAAATGCACATATTTCATGTTAACATGAAATAAAATAAGGTGTGTGTATACACTTCAATTCACACAAAAAAAAAAAAAAAAATCACCTTGCGTTTATTTCAATTCTCTAATTTTTTTCTTTGATTTTTTATTTTTTTAATTTTTCATTCTTTATTCTCTGTATTTCAAATAACAGAAAATTTCACATGAACATATTCTCTATTTTTTTGAAAGCAAAGACTTAATGCATTAAATCACGAGAAAGACACTTTACAAAAAAAGTGAGAGGGGTATCAAACCATTCCCATGAACATATTCTCTATTTTTCTTTCTTCAATTTTTTATTTATTCAAAAAATTAGTAAATTTCTCTATTTAATATAAAATGCACTCGTAAAATCTCAAACACTAGACAATGAGGTCAACAAATTTTGTACTAATTATTATTATACGGAGTATATAAAATATTATATGTATATATATTATTATAATTAGTATTGTCTTTTAGTTATAGTTTAGTAAATGTATATATTATTAGGCGCATAGCGTCTCATATTTTGATGAACATAGTAACAACAACATAGTACAGCTTGATCATATCGATGATCGATCTGCATCGGAGGCCGTACGTACTGGATGTACGTCAACGACGTTCAGTCTTCT